TGGTTTCACTAGATATGGGAATGATTTTGTTTTGATAGGCTTAAGGTCATTTTGCTAGACAATTAATAGGTAAGAAATAAAACAAGTGACCGAATAAGATAGAAAGAACTGGTAAAAAGAAGGAAACAGGTTGCTATTTATATCCTCTAAATATTCCTAAGTTCTAACAGCAAAATACCTATTTTATTTTGCTTTATTTTATTTTGGTACTGGGAATTGAACTCAGGATCTTGTGCTTGTCAGGCAGGTACTTGTGTCACTGAGCTATATCCCCAGCCCCAACTACCTATTTTTAGAGACAGTTATAGATAACTGAATCAGACTTAGTGGGAATTTTACATATTTTTCCTGAAGCTGAAGAATACATATTGGTTAAAGGCTAAAAAAAGGTATGTGCCAGGTGTGATGGTTTATAAACCCAGTACTTGGAAGGCTGAGGCAGGAGGGTCACCATGAGTTCAAGGCCATCCTAAAGTACAGAGCAAGACCCTATCTCAAAAAAAATCAATCAATCAAAAATTAAAAAAATAAAAGGTAAGCCAAATTTTCTCAAGGACAGAGGAAATGTGTGGGAACCTAACTACTCCCAGCTTAAGATAGCAGAAACACTGCAAGCCAATCATCATATCTATCATTAAAAATTAAATTATACTGGCCTTCCTGACGCTATTGGTTTCAAGCAGGAGCCTAAAAAGATGTCTTTCTATGGTCTGTTGGCCATTTAGAACTTGGGCAGTGAATGGTCAATTCATTAGAAACAGTTTGAAGCTACCCCCACACCCACACCATGAGTGGCTGTGAGCATGGCAGGCTACGGTGGCCCAGGACAGGAGCCACCAGTGTTTACTGGGACCTGCGTTATGCTGGGATCTGGAGCACTGGGAAACTAAGCAACCCCTCCCCCTGCCTGTTTTGTTTTGTCGAATTTCAATATACATGAAAGTGTGGACAGCTATTGTGAAGAGAACGAAAGACTCTATGACAGCCATTAGCGACTTCCCTATTATTTGGTTTTGAAGACCTAAAACGCCTGCCTCATTCTGATCAGATCAGTTTTATACTATGTTATTTTGTATGAATTCTCTGTATGCGAAGACATGGACAACTATACATTTTGGGTTACATGGACAAATGTAAAACTGAACAAGGCAGACATGTCTCTTACAACTTTAGTATTTTCAAGGTGTCTTACCTCATAGAGCAAGGAAGAGATTACGCAGATGATCATTAGCCTTCTGCGGACCACAGCAGCTCAGCTATTTGTATCGTTCTTTTACTTACTGAGGGTCTAGGTAAAATGTCATTAGAAAAAAAATGTTCCTAAGAAGGAAGCGAAGGAGGGAGGGAATAAGGGAGAAAGGAAGCAAAGGAGGAAGACAGGCAGTGCAGACAGTATGTTAGAGAATAGAAGGGGGTTTGTGTGTTTCTATGCACATGCATGTACGTATCCATACTGTCAGTACCTATGTGTGTATATTCTGGAAGGAATATATATATATATATATATATATATATATACACACATCTAGTAAAAAAATGAATAAAATTACCAAGCACATTGTACATAATCTAACTTTTAAATGGAATAAGAAAAGAACTGTAATTCTGGACCTTTAAAGAATTACATTATTTTGTCATAAAAATAATTTTCAGTGTTACAATACATCATTTGTAAAACAAGGGCAATGCTATATGACAAACAGAAAGAGAAAAGAGATATTTAAAATGAGAAGTCTCTGAAAAAATAATTTTTAGACCATAAAAAACATTGCTAGTTGGATACTGTCTTCTCAAGAATACAATCAAATATCTTTTCAGCAAAACTCTTTAGGATTGGAAAAGGAAAAGAAATAAATGCATTAATTTAAATAATTAGAGATGCATCCATGTTTAAAGGCTTTTTTTTTTCCAATGAAAGAGTAAAGAGGAAAGTGCAATAATGACTGTGAGACAAGACTCTGTGGAAGATGAAATACTGGGAGCATGGAAGGTGCTGAGTTCCGAGCTCTTCCACCCTTTTAACTAGCCAGACCTATTGAGCTACACTTATGAAATCTGACAAGTGGACAGCCCACAGCAGTAAGATGCAGGGTAGTGATTTTATTTCTTATTTTATTCATTGCAGCCTCAGGGAGAGAGATAACGAGAACAGGAATGAAATCCAGGTCTTCTAACATAAAACACTGTAGAACATTACCACTAGGTCACCAGGGGGAAGAAAAGAAGGAAATATTTTATTTTAAGAGTTTATTTGTGATAATATTTATGGTGGAAAATTATTTGTTTTGGTTTGCCCAATGACATTAAAAACTTTACTTTCATTAATCATACATTTGAGTGGCTGTTTTCATAAAAAATTGTTTGGTGAGTGCTTATTTGATTTAAAATATTTAGCTACACTGTTTCTGAAATTGAAGAAACAAAATACTATCACCAACTTATAAATGTTAGGCAATTATAAGAATAATCAGAAATCACCTTAAAATTTTTATCTAATTTATCTAATAATAGTCCTACTACTTGGCTATCTGTCATCTTTCATTTAGTACCACAAAATGCTATGTAGGTTCTGTTACTGATGAAAACCTTGCAAGTTCTGGGAGACATTACCTGGGTTTGGAGCTTCTAAGAACTTAAGGTTAAGCCAGGCGTGGTGGCTCATGCCTGTAATCCTAGCACTCGGGAGACTGAGGCAGGAGGATTGTTGTGAGTTCGAGACTAGCTTGGGCTACAAAGTGAGCTCAAGGCCTTCCTAAACTACATAGAGTCACCCTGTCTCAATAAATAAATAAATAAATAACTTAAGAAATCCCATGGATGGATTAATGCCATTTAATTACATTGGCCAAGCCATGTAAAAGTCTTAATATGTTTTGACCTAAAAAATGAGAAGTGTATATAACTCAGTAAAATATATCAAACTGGCCCTGATATTCAAATGTTCTCTGTAAAATGATTTAAATGAGTTACTCCATGTGGTTCATAGCATACAGCATAGTACTTATCTGACCATCGAAAGATGTTAGGATGACTAGATAATAATAAAAGTTTGTATTTCTCCATTTGACACAGTGTCATTAGAATTTTCATTATACAAAGGAGAGAAAACACACAGTACACAAAAGAAACCATTACAATTAAAAGGTAAATTTAGCAAGGTGACTGCATACAGGTTTTTTTGGTTTTTTTTTTTTTTTGTCTTTTTCCTTTTTATCGGTACCAGGGATCGAACTCACGACTGCCTGCTTGCAAGGCAGGAGCTTATGCTGCTGAGCTAAATCCCCAGCCCCTGCATACAGGTTTTTATCCAAAAATAATTGTTCTTCACGGAAGTGAAACTTAAAAACACTATTACTTATAATCTCATCTAAAAACACAATATATTCATAAACAAATCTAAGAAAAATGTGCAGTCTGTATACATTAAACATGTAACACATTATTTAAAACTTTTAAATAAGGTAGTAAATGAGTTTATTCATGGGTTGTAGAGTCAACAATATTTATATGTCTATTCTTTCAAGATTTACTATATATTCATTATTACCCCAAATCAAATATGTTAGCTGAATAATTTATAAAAAATTATAAGCTACTTTTATTTTTTGGGCCCTGGGAATCAAACTGAGGACCCTGTGCTTGCCAGGCAGGTGCTTGTGTCACTGTATGTCTCTGGCCCTACTTCTAAAATTTATAGGAAGAATATAAAGTGGCAATTGTAAAGAAAAAAAAGATGGAAAAGAACTTTATTATACTATATTAAAAAGCTACAGTAATGATGACTATTCTAAACTGGCACAAGAATGAGTAAGATTTATGGGTCAAAGCGGAACATCTGGAAAAGAATATACAGAGTGGTGAGGACTCAAGGATGATGAAGATGAGCTGCAGGAAGCAGTCTTCACTTATCGGTAGTGGCTCAAGTGGTTTAGAAAACTTTTGGGAAAAAAAATTAAATGATCATTAATGCCAAACACCAGAAAAAGTTTCAGAGAACTGTTAAACTAAATGTTTAAGTACAACATTAAAGCTTGTAGAAAGATTTGGAAGTATCTTTGACTATGAGGTAGGACATGTGTTCTTTAAAGGAGCAACAACCCTCCTCCAAAAAACCAAACAAAATAAAACAAATCAAAATACTAAAAAAGAGAAAGGTAAAGATGACTGAATTTATAACTTATTACTAAAATACACTATTAAGAGAGTGAAAGGGCAAAACAGAACGAAAAAGTATGTACCAAAGACTCACTTTTGAAAAACATAAAGAACTCTTTTTTTTTATAAGCTAACATAAAAAAAGACATGGAATCCAATAAAAAAGACTTGGAAAGGTACCTCCAATAGGAAGCTCTTGGTGCCCAGTAGATTTAAGGTGCTCAATTTTATTCTGTGGGTATATGCAAGTTAAATCATAATTATTTATCACTATATACCTAACAGAAAGATTAAATTATAAAAGATTAAAATATAAAAGACTAGACTAAGTGTTAGTAAGGATTAGAGTAACTAGAAGTTCTTTATCCTGCTAGTGAAGTAAAAATTGATACACTTTTGAAAAACATTCAGAAACATTTACTCAAATTGAGTTATGATTTGCAACTTAACTCCAAAAACAGAACTCTTCATTATCATATTTCTGCAATAAAAATAAACAGCTATATCTATAAATGAACAATTAAACAGCAATGAAAATAATCTATTAGCACTTTCAGTCAAGGATAAATCTAAAACATACAATATTAAATACAGCAAATCAGATGCAAAGGAATATATATAGGATGAATCTGCTTACAAACTCCGAAAAGCAGGCAGAACTACCTTTGACATTAGAAGTCAGACAGTCAGCATCTGGAGAAGGAAAGGAAGACAGCAGCAGGAGGGACAATGTGCTAGTTGGCTCACTTGGTTCACCTTGCCATGGCTCCCTAAGCTGTATAACTACACTTTAGGTAGTTTTCGATATGTGTTTTATTTAATTAGAACAAGTTTTAAAAATTTACCTGTTTTTTCTGTGTTCTGTTCCTGCTTTCTAGCCAATCATCCATTTGCTCCTCAATTTCTTCTATAGAAGTTCCATGATCATAAGACTGGATATACGTATTTTCTAAAGGTGTGTATGTAGGAAATTCAGGTTTTGGCTTTTTAACTCTAACTTTCTTCTGTTCTAAAAAAAAAAAAAAAAAAAAGGTTTAAAAGAACCAATTATTAAGATTTGTTAAGAATAAACAAGTTTAAGTATTCTAATATTCTTCATATTCCATATCCTAAAAGATCACATTTTTCATCAAAACAGAACTGCATTATTATAAATAACTAACTTTACGTTTTACTATATATAAATCATTCAGTATTTTGATTCTTGATCTTAGCCAAAAGGCTAAGAAGCTATTATTGCAGTATTGTTAAGTAAAGTTCAGGGATAATGCTACAACGATTATGACAAAATTATATCAATTTGTATACAACTTCAGTTTTTGTCAAATTTCGTTTTGGTCTTAAATGCCTTAATCTTGTCTTTATCATATATTAGTTATACAATATTGGGTAAGTAACTTAATACTTAGAACAAGTGTCCATTTTCTCATTTACTAAAATACAATTGGTTCTAAATACTACGTACTTTACAGAGACAAAATCTAATCTGGCAGCATCAAGAGGGGTCATGTATTGAGCAGTCATCAATACAGTCATGTACTGCTCATGATGTTTCTGAATGCTGGTCCCATAAGGTTATGTCACCTAGTGATGCCATAGTCACCTCCGTTTGCATAAAGCATACTTACAATGTTCCCATGAGGATAAATCAACTAATGACAGACTTCTCAAAATGTATGTCTATTGTTAAGCAATACATGACTATGGATGGCCTTCAACTTGGCTCTCTAAAAAGTCCCATTTTGATTAGAGATAATACAGAGAAGAAAATTCATTCTTAATTATTGTCAAACTCACCAGCTTTTACCACCCTGTGTGCTTGCATGTACCATAATGTCACTAATAAAATCAGTATCAACAAACATAAATTTCTAGAACATGCAAATATGTCAACTCAATGAGAAAATGATTCACTAAATAATGCAGCAAAATTGAATAATCATTTGAAAGAAAAGTGGACACAATCTTATAACCACACTCAAAAAAATTCCAGCTAGATAAGAGATTTGATTTTAAAAGTCAAACAATAAAATCTTGTAAAATGAAATCTAAAAAACCCTGTAAGTGTCACTTAAAGGAAGACGAAATCTTAAAGAATAAAATCTAGATTTTACAAAAAAGACAAAAGATGGAATAAACATATAAACAGATATAAAGATTATATAGATTTCATAAACTGACAAGGGTATAGGCAACCCAATAGAAAAACAGGTAAAGGTCACAAATAGGCAATCCACAAATGAATATATCCACATGGCCAAGAAACAACAAATGATGCTCATATTCTGTAAAGGATTAAGAAATACAAATTGGGAGTAATACCAACTTCTGATTTGAAACTCATCACATGGATAGAAATTTTAAAATCTAATAATATATACTTCTGGCAGGGAAAAGGCTATCTCTAGATTGGTGGTAGAAATGTGAATTATTGTGTTATAGTCTTTTAAGAAAGCAATCTAAGTACATTTATTAAAATTAAAATATGTAACCTTTCCCCCAGAAGCATTAGAATGTAGAAGCATAGATGTATATGGGTGTGTATGTGTTTGACTTACTATTTTTTTTAATTTAAGGAAAAAAAGAAAAAAAAATAGAAAAAGGGTACAAGTTATACAGAATTTCAGAAAACATAAACAGTAGAAAATCACTAGTTAATAGATTACATATTGTTATCTTAGAAATAGTTGTTCAAGTTACAAAATTAAAGCATATAAAATGGACTTTCAAACAGTGAGACTGGAGACAGTTTTGTTCAATGATCCAATAAAACTCAGTAATATGATTATCTATCTTATACACTTAAATATATATGCAGTTACATTCTTTAGAGCACTTTCTTTTCCTTTCTTTTGCACAATGACAATCACACATTCTGGGTTTTATTACTCCCACAGTTCTTATTACCTTTTTTTTGAAGAGAGTAAAACCAAATGTGACATAACAGAATAGAGTCAGTCAAATCAAAAGGATGGACATAATAGATAATGTAAAAACAAAATACTAGGTGATCAACAATGGTTATCATTCTGCCTCTTGCTATCTTAAAAAGAATTGCCCATATCATCAGTCATAATAAAATTGAACAAAACAGTAAAGAATGAAACCAAAACATTGGAGACATTACAGGACTGTAAAAGAAGATAATAGTCAACCGGAATGGGCATCATAATGAATCTTATTGTCTTCACAGTTTTGCCTATACTTTCGAACTTGGTACTATCAAGCAAAACAGAATAGAGGAAAATCACTGACTTATTATTTTATTATAAAGATACAAAACAAGTCACATTAAGTGTTTAGTAGGAGAAATGACTGAATAAGTTTTGATAATGCACCCACACTGAGAAACACATTGCCATTGATATAAAATATAGAAACTGACAATGAGATTACCCTGTTTCAGTAATAAATGCAAATGCAAAAACATATCTAAGATTCCACATCTATAAAGCAAAATAATACTGCTCCAAACCCCTTTCTGTGCACGTGTATATATATATATATTCATGTAAATGTATTTTAATATTAATATAAGCATGGAGAAAAATATGAACAAATACACTAAGGTGTATGTGGGGCAGACAAGGAAACAAGACAGTACAGAGAGATGAACAACAGAGGAAAGAGAAGAAATATAACAGTAATAAATAAATAATATGTACATGTATATTTATACATTTTATAAAAGCATGGACATAAATATACAAATAAAATTTAAGACTATTACAGCATAAATCTGGAAGTTCACTAAATTTTGTGCTACTATAATTAATACAAGGCTTAGTTTTACCACCTAACATTTTGTACTTGGCAAAAAACCTTACATACAATAAAAAGGAAATGTTTTCAAAACTTGGGGCCAGGGATTTAGCTCAGCAGCATAAGCACTTGCCTGGCCAACCACAAGGTCATGAGGTCGATCCATGGTACCAAAAAACAAGCAAAATAAAACAAAAATAATCAAACCTAAATGTCTTTTTCTAGCTTTAATAAAACTTACATAATTAGTATAGATGCCGAACATCATGAATTTTGAAGGTAATGAATACATTATTTGTATTTCATTCAGTAAAAATAAATGTAAGATTTTTTTTTAGCAGCATGGTATTTACATGGAGAATTGTGAGTTAAATAAAAATACATACTAACTTAATGCAGGGAAGAATATTAGTAGAAAGTTTCATAAATTTTGGTCTCAAGTTAGATTGATTCCTGAAACAATAATTAAACTTGACAAAGGTAATACACCAAACTAACCAACCAACCAACTAAACAAACAGAAAAAAAATCAAGCAACAAAACCAAAAACAAACCAAAAAAGCAAAAGTAAAAGCCATAATTTAATAACTGTATAGTCAATGAACAGAAATGTTTTCCTCTTGAAAGAAAATCTTATTTGGTATGATCATTTCAAAAATGATAAATGAGCCAAATATCATCTTAAGCAACAGCTTCAATTTAATGCCCCTTCTAAAACAGTAGAAAGAAGTTTAGGCTCAGGAAACAAATAAACAAAAATCCTGCTGGAGCTAGAGATATAACTTTGTAGTAACACAGAAAAACAAAACAAAATGCACACAAAAAAATTTCTGGCCTACATAATCTGTCTTATTACATACTTGGAACATAAACTTCGTTTTTGAGTCTGCAATTTTGATCAAATATCTTCTGTCTCAATGTATAAGAGTGTTTCTTATGCCAAGACATAGTCATTGAATTGTGATTCAGGTTCTCTGGCCACAAACCTGGGGCTGTTTTTCAGATGTTAACACTTGTACTTTGATGCTGCCTGAAAATAGTGCAATAGAGTTTACATAAAATCACAGTATCTTAAATGTATGTTTTTCTTAATGTATGTCTTCTTAAATGCAGGGAGCATTGAGAATTTCTCTTGGAAAAATGTTAAGACAATAAACACTGGGGCAAACAAGTCAAAAAAACTGTAGTCACACCCTCTTCCTGCCACAGGGGCTACTGAGGTACCAGGACTTTTGAGACTGCCAGCTGCAATGAAGGTCCCCACCCCCTTCACCTGGGCGCTGTGAGAAGTGTAGCTCTAATGTGGCTCTCCTCCTCTCTGGAGTAGTGCGGCCACATGAGTAGCCTGGTTTGTTGGGAGTCTATGGGAGAACGTGTGCTTTTACAAGGGTCCAGAGGTACTTGGAGGCAGGCCTCACACAGGACGACCAGCACAGACCAGTGGCCTCCTTGATTCTCTTCCAGACAAGTGCTTCCATTGGAGGCCAAGAGCCACACCCAGCCTCCTCCTCAGATACAGAGGCACTGTGAACTTCTAGCCCAGCACTGCTAGGGTGCCACCCCAGAAAACCAGGTCAAAAAGCAAGTATAAGATCCACAAGTACCACAACATAAGAGCCCCAATATCCACATTTAAGAACAACGAACTTTTAAAACAGAACCTGGAACTCTAGGAGTCTGAGGTGGGAAGATCGTAAGTTCAAACCCAGCCTGGGCAACCCTGTGACTTAAAAAACCTTGTGTCTCAAAAGGAAAAATGAAAAGGGATGAGAATGTAGCTCGATATGAAGGCCCTGGTCTCATTCCCTGGTATTTAAATAAATAAATAAAGTGGAGTAGATGCAGCCAAAGCAATGCTGAGTGAACTTTAGCACTACGTTAAGAGGAAAGACTTCAAATTAACAATCTAAGCTTCTATATAAAGAAACTAGGAAAAGGTGAAAACAAGCTGAAAGCAACTAGGAAGAAGGAAATAATGAAATTAAAACAAACTCAATGAAACAAAACGGATTCTTTGTAAATATCAATAAAACTCATAAACATCTGGCAAAACTGAGAGAAAGAAGACAAAAGTTATCAAATATTAGTACGACTGACAAAGGGGAAATCATTACATGAAATGTAGGCATTCAAAAATAAATGAGTATTAGGAAAAATCTAGGCAAGTAATTTTGATACTTTAGAGGAACCAAATGCTCAAAAAAACTATTCTAATACATTCAAGAAATAGATACATAAAATAGATAT